AAGTGTTAGACCACAAGGCAGATGAATAATTGATTCCACTAACTCAGACTGCTTTCCAAAATGGCTGAATTGGTTTACACTTCCATCAGCATTTGGAATGAATGACCCTAATAATTTTTGCTACTATAATAGACATAATATCTCACTTTAATTTTCATTCTCAGACACTAGTAAGTTGAAACATCACTTCTTATTCTCATCGGCTACTCAGCTTCTCCCTTTATAGATAACTTTCTTCCCTGTGGCTCAATTTTATATTGAGTTTCCAGACATTCATTTGTTGATGTGCAGTTTCTAAGAATGTTTTCTATAGTCATTAATCTTACCCATTGCTAAAAATTACTTCAGCCTGGTATCAGTCTATTAATTTGTTGACACTAATATTCATTGATTCGAAACTCTTCATTGTAATAGAGTCACAGTCATCATTTCTTAAACCTTACTTTAAAAATGATTTAAAATACAGTCCCTCCCCTACATTTTGTTCTGTTCATTTTAGTTTAACCTTTAATCCATCTTTATTCTATGTGGAGTGTGAGTTTTTGAATGATGCATTATAGAAATTAGTTTTGTTCTGTTTCATAGCCTGTGTTCCAATAACAATCGCTAAAGAGATTTTCTTTTTACCATTATATATAAGTGATACATCTTTATCAAATATTGCTTGTAGTTTTTGATAAAAAGAATACTTCTCTAGGAAGAACGATGACTCAGATAAGATAAGACCAGCAAGAGAAATATTTCTTCCCATCCATCTTCAGGAGGATAATGATAACTGCTCACTGTGGAGTCAGCCTTCTGAAGTCAAAGCAAATAGGAATTCTTAAATCACCCAACAGCTCTGAATTGATTTTTTGGATCAACAGAAAATGGTCTTACTAGGGCAAGTGCTTCAGATACTTCATTTGAATTCCTATAACTTTTCAGTGCTTAGTGGCATAGCCATGAAGGTTTCTGTGTCATTCTATAACAAAATAAAATATTTTGAAAGTCACAACTATACTATACATTGTATCATAATAGTACTTCTCCAGTTGCTATTTAGGATGTGAAAAGACATGCCATCCCTAACATTTTCAATTTTCCTAACGCTTCCTGAAATTCATGGAACACCTTAGGGTATTTGACTTGACAGAGTACTTAACTGGTAAATTTTTTATAAGCAAGGAAAAAGCTAGCCCCAAACAGCTCTGATTTATGGCTTAATTCAGTATTCTGTACATAGAAAGTCCTAAAAAAAAAGTCCTTGGCTGATTACCTGGCTGCGAGCCCACGTATTGAATGGGTCGCAATATGCATGCAGAAGAAAATCTTCTTTCATAAAAGTTATAATCTGTTTGTTTTTTTGTTAGGAGAAATAACACCAAAGACTTTAAGGATTATTGTACTGTAAAAAACCTAACTCTGTGCCATTGTTCATGGAGTCCTTTCCAGCCACTATACAATGGACTATATGCCTAAAGGAATATTTATGCTTTACCCTTGGATTTGGATGGAAGTTATTTTGGGATTTATCCACATTGCTCAGTGATGCTAAACAACAGGTAGCAAATAGAATAAAGCAATCTGGTATAATTACACACATATAATCTGTGTGTAATGAGCTGGAGCCATAACTGAAATGTTAGTATTGCCTAGCACCAATGCTCAGACCCCAGTGTCAGTACCCACGGACACACTTGTTTAAAAGCAGATCAGATACAATCCACCAACAACACTTAAGCTCACTGTACCCAGAGATTCCTGGAAAATGTCACAGTCAGACTTGGTTGTGGTTAAACTACAGGCCTAAGGATAAAGTTCATAGTTTTTGTTTTGATCATGTAGAAAAACTTGTAGTAATTTGCCTAATATTACAGAGTAAAAATAACTGTGATATATGATTTACAATTCACATAGCTGATGTCTCTTATTATCAAAATTTATGTTCTATTTTAGAAAGTTCTAAAAAAATTTTGTTTAGGAACAAAAGAACACTACTGGCAAAACAGTACATGTGTGGGAAGTCATTGCTGCCAGGGTGGAAATGTTACACTGTGAATGAGATACATGCCTCCAACCTCCTGTACTTCCTTGCAGTAAGATTGTAGAAGAATTGCCAGTAATGGCAGATAAATGTGAGTTGTGAAATAACGACTGGAGGAGAGATAGAATGAGTACACATATTCTCTTTGACAAAGACTTCAGGTTAATATGCTTGTACAACTGTTATAAAATTTCAACATGCTTTTAGAATTGCAGCACAAACTTTAAATAAGCAGTAAACTCAGTTATTTTCTCCTCAACTTAAAAATATTTTTCTACTGACCTTTCACTGTATACCGTTAGGACAGTCCTTCTTGTTCATGTACCATTTTGACTTATTTCTGAGCTCTCCATAAATGACATTAAAGTTTCTGTTTTGAGATTTGAGAAGATATTTTTAAATTAAGATAAGAAGCCAATTGGGAAAAACTCAGTAAAATCTAAATGTCCTAATCACACATAATTTTTATTAAAATAACAGCCTTCATATTGCATTCTAATGATTTACTTCTATTTGTGCCACTTTGATTAAATAAATCATATATTTCCAATATCATTGACAAGTTTCTACTTTCAGAGAATGCTTTGAGGGCAACATTTTACTAACTATAAAATGACAAGAGTGTTATGATCTATTTAAAAAAACCCCAGCACTAGTAACATAATCGGGACATTATCAATATGGATAACAGATTAAAAAAAATCCATTAAAAATTGTAGAAAATTGGGGCCCTTCCTGGTGGCGCAGCGGGTTAAAACACTGCACTAAGAAGCTTAAGCCACTTCTGCATGAGTTCGATCCCCGCCTGCCCCGGAGGTGAGCACATGGCTTGGCAGATCTCTCCTGACCCGCCTGCTGCTCCCCTCAGCAGTGTGCTTAGTGGATCTGCCTGTTCTGCTCCCCACTCTGTTCCTGGTGAATCCTCTCACCCTCTGCATCTCTGGCCTGTACCCCAGTTCTGTATAAATAAATAAATCTTAAAAAAAAAGTAGTAGAAAATAGCCATCTTTCCAACATCACAAAAATGTAGATTTTCTGTAACTAAGGGCATGTTCTTTCAGGGACATATTTATTAATCTTTATTCAGTTTATGGAGCTAAGAGATTTCATTTGCTATAAAAGAACAAAAGAAAATGTGAATGAAGAATAGCATCACAAATGTCAACTACTATCAAATTAAAGATGTACTTTTATAAAATAAGCAATTTATAGCAGTGTTCTTACAAATGAGTATTTAATAGAAAGATCTCACTAGTAATTAAAATTAAATTTGTAATTAATCCAGCATGCTCCACTTCTACTTCTATTTCCTTCTGTGATGATACAAAGACAAGCAGTAAAATATGCACATAATTATTTATTTAAGTCTAATTACTTATTCAGTAGATGCACGGATGACCTCTATTAATAGGTATCATAAAAATGTAAGGGGAAATGTGTGGAAATGCTAATATTTAATATCTAATGTTTCACTTTCTATTGATTTTTATTAGACTTATTTCTCTTGTAAACATATACTTTTCCATATGAGAATTAAGTTTTTGTGCTTTAATCTTTAACAGCTTTATTGTGAAATCAATCATAGCAGCATCATTCCCATTTCACAGAGGTGGGCTCAAGACATCCTCACATACTACACCTTTCCATATGGCATTGCATATGGCAGTTCGTGGGGCAAAGTGTATGATTTATCATCAAATAGCCTCATCTTGAAGAATCAAAGCCAAAGTAATAGCTTTCTCCTTTATCATATTCCCACACCTAACGTTCTATTATTTGGTAAAATCTTATTTCTTTTTTAGGTTTAATTCAGATTCACTTCTCTGAAATAGATTCCACTGAAATAAATTTAATTCTTCCTGCTTTTGTTCTTCACAGTACTCTTCCCTGTGGTGCAGTGGGTTACAGCACCGCATTATGAAGCTCTCTGAAGTCACTGCAGTAGGAGTTTGATCCCTGGCCAGGGAAGTGACCCACATTGTGTGGCAGACCTTTCCTGATCCGCTGCTACTCCCCTCAGCACTGCATTTGAGTAGATCTGCCTGTTCTGCTCCCCACTCCATCTCTGGTGAATCCTCTCACCCACCACACCTCTGACCTGTAGCCCAGTTCTGTAAGCATAAATAAATAAATCTTTAAAAAAAAAGTTTGCAATAGCATTTATCATACTATATCATAGTTGGTGACACACACATCTAATTCCCAGTCATCTTTCCATTCCTGCCACATGGCGTGGGATAAGCTAGCTCTTTAACATTTCTTAAATAAAACAACCCCACAAACAAAGGCAACTGTTAAGAAAGCTTGGATATTGTAACTATTCATATCCTTGAAGTAGAACCTCTCAGTGGGAGAAGAAAAGGCTTACGAATGGAGATAGAAAGTTAATATAAGTTCTAAAGAGTTATTTTGAATTAAATAAAATGGGGAAAATCGGTCTAAATCCAACCAAATGTCATCACAGCTACAAGTGAACATAATCTGAAGTAGACACATTACCCACAAGAAGTGAAGGATTTCACTTCTGAATAATGAAAGGATTCTTGTTTCACTACTTCCTTTTATTAAAAGCACTTCTTTAAGGTAGGAAGAAAGACATGAAAGATACTATTGATAATCTACAGGACTGTTGGAGAAAGAACCCCAATATGTATCTTCTACAGTTTTTGAGAAGGGCCGTCAGCGACTGGGCTGATCCTCCAGGGAAGATCTCTAAGATAGCATGACTTTAAGCATAGTTTTGTGAGGGTGGAAATAGCTGTCACAAATATCAACAAGGAAATACTCATCCAGTCCCTATCTCATACCAAATATCAAATATAAACATCATAGTACTTGTTTGGTTTTTTTTTGATGCTGAAACATCTTCTAAAATTATAATGATAAAGTGCTATCTCAGAATACTGAATGAATGAATTTATTGGGAAGTTTTGGGGCCCTTCTCACTATACCTTAATATTATCTTTTTTCAGATCTGGAAACACACTATTACTGACTGCACTGTATTAAAATTATTACCATTATAAGATATTTTGCTTAGGCTGTTTCACATTTGCTAAATTGTAATTTGAGTATTCCTTTCAGGTGAAGTTGGAGAATTTGGCTATATTCTTTGGGCATCTCATGGAAACCACGTTTAGGTAAATTGTTGTCATAGTAATGATGACTGACAGGTGTGTCTTCTACTGTTTTTGAGAAGGGCCAAAATCCATACAGCTTTACATTCTCACACAGTTCAACCGCCACACTTGTGATCATCAAGCCAGATGACAGGCGATATTCTGTCACACCTTTAGTTCTCCAGAAAAGGGCAAGATTTTTTAGGTACTTGGGATGGAAAAATATGACTTTTGGTCTTGCTTGAAACACTTTCAAAGTTTCATACACTCTAAAAGAGGCAATGGTGTTGGCCCTAAAGGAAAACGCTGGCAGAAGAAGGTATGCATCTCCGTAGTTTGCAATGTCCTCCAGAAATAGTGTTCTCTTTTCCTTTAAGTTTCCATATCTGCCAAATTTTTAAAAGATCATGATAATAACAATAATAATCAAAGTTCCCTGACTAGATACACACATCGCTTACATTATTTTATTTTTTAACTCAGTCATTTTTTTCTGAGGTTGTTTTTTGATGCTGAAGTACCCTCCATATACATAATGATAAAATGCTATCTCAAGTGTAGCACCCTCTTGAAATATTTATTCATTAAAATCATATAGCTGAACCTTTAAAATCTTACTTGTGCACTTTTTGTACACATTATGAAATAAAAGTTTCCCTTATAAAACCTATGATATCAAATCTATATATATACATACACAAACACACACACATCTATCTTAAATTTTCTTCACTTCTTGCAATAGTTCTTTATGTTTGACTCAAACAATAGATTAATAAATACACTTATAAGTACAATATCTGTGCTTAGCAAATGAACTTTTGGGAGACAAACAAAATATTTTATATTCTCTCAAGATATACTAGAACTATTCCATTTTTTAATGGAAACGATGTAAAACTGTGTATGGAACTTTTATTTGCCAACCAATATTATTTTAGTTGTTATGTTGCAGTAAACTAAACATGGGGATTATTTTTTTAATAATAAATTACCCAAAGTGAAAATTGATTTTGTCAGGTTCTCCTAAGGTTTACTCTAAGAAATTTCTAAATACTCTTATAGAGAAAGTATGCCAAGAAAAAAGAAAAGTGCTAAAATTCTAAAAAAAAAATTGAAAAAAAGTAATTTACTATTGTTAAAGAGATGAAGAGATAAATAAGCTCTTATTTGCTTAGTGGCATTCAGCGTATGACATGAGCAGTATCATTGACCATATCTCTTATGAACAACAAATTGGATAGAATGTCATAAAATACAAGTACTTTCTTATATATTTCCCCAAGTGAGTCATATTACAAGTCAGCCTCAGCAACAACACTAGTGCTCAGGTTAAGAAACTTGTTAAACAATGGAGAAAAAATCTTAAATAGTAAGGAAACATGTGGTTACTTACTTTAGCTTTATGATACTGGGATTTATAGTTACAAGATTGGTTTTACTGCCAACATCTTTACTTATATTTCCTGTGGTTGGAGGGAGGTTACACCTGAAATTTGGAAGGGAAATAATTTTCAAAATAGTAAGAATAGTGTGTACACATAAGCACTTATTTATCACCATTATATTTACACTGAAGAAAATACCAGATATTGTTCTCTGAAAGCAATCTTGTAGAGATCCTTAAAAATCTATTTGATTTCTGGGCCCTACCTGGTGGCACAATAGGTTAAAGCTCATCACTATGAAGCTAGCTGCAGCTCCTCTGCACTAGGTTTGATCCCCAGCCAGGGAGTGACCCACATGGGCAGCAGACCTCTTCTGTCTTGCCTGCTGCTCCCCTCAGAAGTGTACTTTGTCAGTCTGCCTGTCCTGCTCCCCACTCTGTCTCTGGTGAAACCTCTCGCCACCCCTGTACCTCTGGCCTGTACCCTGGTTCTGTATGCATTAATAAATAAATCTTTTAAAAAATCTATTTGATTTCCATTTAAAACTAATTAGTCCTGAACTCTTAGTTACCATTTCAACATTGTAAAAATATACAAATTTAATGAATGGTCTTGATAGTAAGATTTTAATAGTAACAAAGATAGAAATAACAATTACATTGTGCCCAGCTTTAGAAGAATTCATAACCCGTTATTAAAAATATTGTGTTTAAACTAGCAACAACAAATGTTGGCAAGGATGTGGAGAAAAAGGAACTCTCCTGCACTGCTGGTGGGAATGCAAACTAGTACAACCACTAT